GGTTGTTTTTCAAGTTTTCTGAATATATTTTTTTTAATTGAGGCATCTATTAACAAAAAGTGATAACTCTATTTTTTTCATTTCATTTTTGAAAATACTGTTAAAAGGCAAAAAGAAATGTTAATTAAAATATTAATTATAAAGTGCAAACAATTCTTTTTTTTTTTTTTTTATTCTTTTAAAGAATAAATGACCACTAAGAAGACAGACTAAATTAGTGGGAATTTATTTTATCAGTGAAAAACTTTTTAGATTATTTATTTTTAAGAATTAAGACTTTTTTTTTTTAAATAATCTATTTTCAGGATTATTCTTACTTATTTCCATATTTTATATTATTATACATATAAATCCAATGCCTAGTAATGATAAATCAAAGCAATACAATTATTTATATTAGTATTAACTCCATCTATATAAGAACATGCTCACATATCATTAATACACTTAGTACTTATTATCATTTAGTTGGAAGATCGCAAAGAATTGATTGCAACAGATTAACCACTTTCATCCATGAAATTTTGTAATTCATACCATTAATGAGTTATTAAGAACATTTATTTACAGAACATGAAATATCACTAAGAATAATATGTGAAAAAACCTAACTGTTACGAATCATTTTTATCTTATATCTTATGTTATGAGGATTGGAATATCTTAAAATTAGTGTAATCAGATTAGCAGTTTTTCTACACTTAATAAAAAATCCTTACCAGGCTCCCGTTTCCTCTCAATTTCAGTTAAGCATAAACAAACAAATATTATAAGTAATCAAGCGTAGATAACACTACTTTAAAAAGAAATCCAATTAAATGAGTACTATATATGTGAATCTTGAAACAACTTAAAATTCATAAGCACAATCTAAATCTATTAAATGCATGCATATTAATGAATTTCACATTTAATAAGATGGTAGCTGGCGCACAATAGACCTGATTATGCGTCTACGTATGATTCCACATAAAAACAAAGAAAAGAAGAAAGAAATAAAGTAGGTTAATATAATGAAGGTCTAGATTAAAATTAAATTGAAAAAAAAAATATCAATCTAATATCAGTTTTATGGACCTACTACTAAGAAGTGAAAAAAAAAAAAAAAAGAAGCAGAAACTCAGCTATATACTTTGGGCTACATCACTTTTCCTGCCCGAAGGCATTCTAAAGATAGGAGCGGGGTTTATTGTGTACAATGGTTTCACTGAGGCACTAGCTCTTTTTGTTTAATAAACTTAACAAATGTAGGTTATCTTAGTCAATGGGAGTAAGGTGATTAATGAAACTAGTAAAAAACATTATTTTTGAAATATGGAAGATCATAAGTTTTAACAATGAGTTGGGAAAAGAATGTTATTCAAGCTTAAAATAATATAAAAAACTTTATAAGAATATTAGTAATGAAAACTTCAATAAAGAAAATATTGATAAGGCAAATAATATTTTAAATAAATACCAAGGTCTTTCTCATCTCCTTTGTCTTTTTCTTCATCTGCAACTAACTCATCAATATCTTTCTTTTTTTTCTTTTTCTTTTTTGTTTTTGAGAAATCCATGTCCAAGTTGAATTCCTATAAGAAAAACTTTATTTAAACTTTCAACTAGAGTTCTTAAAATGGTACTAAATTTAAAAATAAGATAGGGTCAAGCATTCCCCAAAAGACTAATAAATTATAACAACTCATGCGAATGATTACAGATTATTTTTATACATCCAAAACATAAATTACATATCCAATAAATTTACCATGAACTACATTTTGTATAAATAATACATTGTATATCACAAGAAATATATTTACAGTAGACTCTCGCTTAAACGGCTCTCTGGATTAACCCTCGGTGGCAGTAAGAGAAAAAAAAAATTTAACATCCTTAAAAGCACTAATAACTTTGTGAGATAATCAACCACTGATTATAAGTTTAGTTTTTGTTGTGTTGCGGTCCAAAAGATTTTAAATAGATTGAAATATAGACAAAAAAAATTGTTTATTTATAATTTTTTTTACAATTGACCGAACCTTGATAAAACACATCTATTCAAAGTAAAATTGATTCTTGAAACAAAATCCTTATCATTCATTTATTCCATAGAAAATTGAAAAAAAGAAATACTGTGTAAATATCGCAAAAAAATAAATAAAATCTATTAAATATGACACATTTTCTTGGAAAAGTTTTGGTCGAGGTTTTTGTTTGTGTAAGTCTCTCTTTTCAGTTGTGTTACACATTTTGTTCAATTAATTAGCCTGACAAAATGAGTGAAAAAGAGGAAGAGTTGTGGAGTCATTAGAAGATGAAATGTTTAAGATTATTCTACAATAAAGAAGTTAAAATATTTTTGGAATTTTTTATTTTTTTTTATACCCTCCATATTAACTGGCGCTACTGTTAAACCGGTGATGTCACGGATCCAAAGAGGGCGGATAAGGAGAATCTACTGTATTGTAATATCAACCATGTGACTTATTGAGAATAGGCTGATCCTACAAGATCATATTGAGCATATGGTAAAAAGAATTCTGAGGAATATTTAAGTTATTTGAGAATATTGACAATCATGTTCATATACAGTAACAGACAACTAGATAATGATTTTCATAGGCTGAAAATATAAAAATTATGTTTATTTGGATACTTCTAGTATTTTAGACCTTAAAAATATAAGTTAAATACAGCATACTTCAGTTATTAACCATTTTATTTTTAAGATCTATATTACTGTTAAAAAAATGAAACCTTTAACTTAACATTCTTTAAATTATACTATTTTAAGTAATAAAAGATAAGGAACATAACAATCTAAAAAAATCCCATATTTCGACAATTACTCCTGAGGACCAACACAATAGATTTTTTTTTAGAAAGAAGCGGAAAATTTGACAAACATTTTGATGTCAGTTGACACTATTGTTTATATATATCACGACGTTGACAGAATAAAAACAAGAGCAGACCTAATCTAACATAAACATTTAGTTTTAATTTACTAGAAAGAGTAGAGGATTGATTATAACATACTAGTTAATAACCTAAATCTACTTTAGGACACACTCTGGCAGTTTCAGGGCAGTTTTTACTATCAAATAATTCCAAAAAGGAAAAGATTTAATACGTAAGTGAATAATGTATAGGTCTTAGTTACTAAATCTATTCCCTGGAAGTAAAGGACACCATGTGACATTTTTGTATTTGATCGGAAAGCCAATTTTACATAACTTAGAGCTATTAAAATTTGTTTCTTAGTTACTAAATTATTTAATTAAAAAATGGACATGGTGCCCTAACCTCTGGTGCACAGAATTATAGTTGAAGTCAAATGAAGAAATCTGAGAGGTATTAAGGTTGAAGTAATGATAATTTTCATTTACCATCGAAATGGTCATTTCTAGCTTAAGATACATAGATACTTAGTATCAATAGACTTAAGGATGATTACAAAAATATTAAAAAGGCCAAAGGGAAGAGTGAATCTTACAAATGTGAACATAAACATTTTAATCACTTATCTTAAACTACCTTAAATAATTGTTCATTTTAAGCAACTGAAACACCTTTACATTTTTTACAATAAAATCACTGAATATAATAGAACAAACCTCAATACCTCCATCATCGGCAACATCATTAGGAGCATTGGACTTTCCAGTACCTCCTCCATCTGGTAGAGCATTCTCTAGTTCATCTAGATTAAAAGTTTTTTTCTCTGAACCATCACCAACATCTGTTAAAACTGCATCTATATCAAAATTTCCCTTCTTTTTCTTCTTCTTCTTCTTGATGGTAGGATCTAATATCTACAACACAAGAATTAGTTAACTAAACTCCTTGCTCTTTACACTAATCCACGAAAAACAGCAAACTGAATTTTAATTGTGATTCTTAACCGAAAATTCTATTAGATAGGGAGAAAATGTTTTAAATATGTCACAGAGCAACATGGGCTCTTCCTACTTAATTTCATATTATTCCAAAAGAATAACTCACCGAATCTTCTTCAGTCATTATAAAAATATTCTGTTAAATAAAACTACAATAATTTCAACGTAACATGTAACAACATTGAAAAGAACTTAAACAAGTCTTATTGCATCATCCACCGTTCAACTGAGTTGCTGGAAAGTACGATACCAAGCAAACTGACATAAACAGTGTTGTCTCTTCTAAAGACAATAACATTTTTAATCTTTGAGAAGAAAATTGAAGATCCTATTCCGGAATATATCATAAAATAAAAACAAAACGTTTTCTGAAAATTATGTTTTAAAAATGCATTTAAAAATAACAAAGTAATTGTTTTTATGATGTCATAAAAATGTTTTTTTTAAATAAAAACAATTATTCATTATTTGTTCAAAATGAAGTAGAATTTAAGGATATATTAACATATATATGTTAATTGTTAAAAAAATCCTGAAGTGACAGCAGTAATTCATGAACATGCATAGCCGTTCATTTAAAAAGCATGTTTGGTTATATAGCTTTGATTTCATATCATTTTAAGTAAACACTTTTTAAAAGTGTGAATCGTAATAAAGAAGTGTGATACTTTTTACGTTTTTTGTATTGGATAATATGAATTTGACCTATTTTCTCACTGTATACGTCTTTAACTAATTGGTTGAAAAACTTACAATAACACTTTAATTTCAATGAATGGCATTAATTCATGTGTATTTGAAATAGTATTTGACAATATGGCTCTTAATGTCACTCTATATTTACTTCATCCTAGTGCTATAAACCATTTACTAAAGTGCGACGTTAATTATGAATCCTGATAACAAGTATCATTTTCGATCATTTCTTTTTATATATTACTGGAAACTGGTGTTCAAAAAATAGTGAAATGTGATTTGTAGAATTCTTTTTCTCACTAACATTGATTATTGTTTGATTTGTTCCTGAAACTTAAGGTTTGTGTGATTAGTAGCTTTTACCTATGTATAACAAAATATCTTGTACATTTATTGAGAAAATATCCTTTTCAGTTCATAATGTCTAATGGTATGATGGGTGGTTTCAATCCTGAGATAGAATTAATTATTAGTCAGTTGGAACGTGGTACAATTGTTACAAGATTTTTCCCTCGAAAAAGGCCTGAAAAGAAAACGCTAATGATCCGCCGAGAAACAAGACAAATAGCATGGGCAAGAACACAAACTAATAAAGCATTTGATGGCACTAGTAAGTTTATTTTTAACAGCCGAAAATTGTAAAGTTAGTATTAATTCTTGTTTTGATTTTTTGTTTTGTTTTTTAGTTGAAATGAGAGAAGTTAAAGAAATAAGGCTTGGTAAAAGCTCCAAGGATTTTGAAAGATGGCCTGAAGAAGCTAAAAGAATTGAGAATTCTCGATGCTTTGTTGTTACTTATGGTTCTGAATTTAAATTGAAATCACTTTCGATATCTGGTAAGTATTGAGGTTTCATCAGATAAAGTTACCAGAAATTATTGTAATTTTTTAAAAATAAGAGTTGACAGATCTTAAATGTCTGTGGTGGTCCTTTAAAGCTAAAAAATATAACATTAAGTAGGCAGTCCTGAAAGAACCGAAAAGAATTTGTGATGTTTGTATGAATATTTAATTTTAGAATCCACTATTCATTATCTTTGATCTATCGATCCCTTTTTTGACTCCCAGGAGCAAAGGATTTTGATGAATGAGGCAGTAAACATTCATAACACAAATGGCCTTAAACATTACATTAAATTTATTTCTTAAGCTGTTTTATATTATGTAACATTTGAATTTTCTTGTATCTGACATTTCTCTATGCAGTTGCTTTATTGGTAGACTAAAATTAATTATTTTAATACATTTTGCAACTTTTTTTTTATTTCTTACAAATGCCGAGCGCCCACAAGTCGGCTGGCACCTCCAACAGTCCCCCTCTAGATCGGCGTCCCATGTCAATTTCCCCGTTTGCCCCACTCTAAGGTAATCAGTGGCATGAGGTATAAAAAAAAAGTGAATGTGGATGAAAACAAGTTGAAGGTTTTTAAACTCAACATTGTTAAGGCAGTAGTCCATGGTACAAACACTTTTTTATCAAATTATTAACATCCACCTAAAACATCGTGAATAGCTTCATCTTATTGTAGCATACAAATTTTTTATGTACAAAATGTTCTTATAACTGGTGTGTTTTCTCATTAAATTAATTAATTCAATTTATTAAACAAAAACTCACTAGAACACATTTGTTTTCCATATAAATTGTAAGATGATTTGATCAGAAAATCGATTAAAAAATCAATATTTATTTGTATTGTAATTTTTTTTTAGCTTTGTCTGAAAAAGAATGTGATTTATGGATTCGAGGTTTACGATACTTAGTTCAAGATACAATAGCTGCCCCTTATCCCCTCCAGGTAGAAAGGTGGTTGAGGAAAGAATTTTATGCTATGGAGAATAATAGGGAAACGTAAGTATTAATAATATTAATTTTCTAATTAATATTTATCAAGCAGCTGCGATGCCAATGTGTTCATAATATGATCTTGGAATGCTGTTAGGGTTGATTCATCCTTGGATTATTTTTGTTAATTTAATGCAAGATATATAAAACCACTTTTATTTAATCTTTTATTTTTTTTCTCCCCTGCTGAGGTAGCCTTGGCCAAGTCATGACTTTTAGACCATACAGGATTTTTCCTGGGCCAGGTGAAAGGACACGGGATTAATGTTAGAGTTAATCCCCTCCTCCGGCACTAGGACTTCAACTCGTTATTTTCAGTTTATCAAGTAGCCTGGCAACGTATATTTTGAAGATATTAGCCTACTTGCCCTCTCTACTCTCTATTTTCATTAAATTACCTTACTTATTCGGAAGCTTACTTGTTTCATAAGTATTTTTAGGCAGCCTGTAAGAAGCAGATGCACCAATTTGAAAGTAGTACTAACCTCCCTTTATTGATTTATTCCTCTAGAATTTTTTTCAGTTAACCGGTAATTTAAAAAAAATTTTTTGGCATGAGGGCTCTGCAGCTTCCATGAGGCCTATTGTTAACTCTTAAACAGGCCAATAGCCTTTGCAAATGTATATGTATGTATATATATTGGGTTGTCCGAAAAATAATGCAGGATTTTGAGTTTTCATTAAAATACCCCTGTATAAAAAAAAACTGTTTACGTTTACTGGATTATTCATTTGTATGAAAGTCAACACCTGTTAATCCTCTTCCTAACGATAATGTGTATTTACCTCATTTAGCATTTTGCTGCTTAGAAATAATTCAGTCTTTACTAAGATGTCAAAGAATGATTTTTGTATAATTTTGTTTTACGAGTTTAAACTCGGCCGGAACGGAGCCCAAACAGCCAGTTACATCAATCAAGTCTGAGGCAAGAGCAGCATTAATGAGTGCTCTGTTCAACGGTGGTTCAAAAGATTTCGGGAGGGAGACTTCAGCCTTGAAGACAAAGAATGTCGTTGAAGGACTTCCTCTCTTGATGACAGTATTCTGTGGACTTTGGTGGAAGAAAACCCCAGAACAACTGTTCGAGAACTTACAGGGAAACTTAACCTTAGCAAATCGATCGTTGATGGCCACCTCAAAGAGATTGAAAAGGTACATAAGCTTGAAAGATGGGTTTCACACACAACGACCGCCAAAAAAAAAACAGCGTTATGAAGTTTGTGCTATACTTTGTTGCCGAAACAAAACAACCATTTTCTATCCAGAATTATTAATTGTGATGAAAAGTGGATATTTTTCTATTACAGTAGACATTCTGGACAGTGGCTCGACAAAGGAGAAGCAGTAGAATATTTTCCAAAATCCCCAACTCATCAAAAAAAGGTGATGGTTACTGTTAGGTGGGCTTCATTTGGTTTGATACTCTACAGCTTCTTAAAACCTAGAGAAACAACCATCAATGTCAAATCCTATTGTTACCAAATTAATGCAATGCGCCATAAATTGGCAATAATGAAGCTATCTTTGGTTTATTGTAAGAGGCCCATTTTGTTGCATGACAACGCTTGGCCATATGTCTCACGTGTGACTTCACAAAAACTGTTGGAGCTTAGTTATGAAACTCTACTGCATCCGCCCTACTCTCCTGACCTTACGCCTACGGATTATCGTTTTTTTAGACACCTGGACCATTACTTGACAACAAATTTAATGGACAAAGGGAATTAGAAAATGCGTTTTTGGACTTAATCAAATCTAAAGATGGGAAATTCTATTCCGAGGGGAAAAATGGTTGCCAAAACGTGGCCAGAAATGTATTGATAGTAGTAGAGACTGTTTTGATTAAATAAAACAGTTATAAATCTTAATGTTTTCTTTTTAAACCAAAATCCTGCACTATTTTCTGGACAATCCATTATAGTGTTAGGATATATCAATTTACTAAGTCTAGGATCAATAATGATAGTCACAACCAAACTGGAAGCATTGCATCTTAGAAAATCAAATCTACATATTATGTAGTAGGCAGTTTTCATTCTCTATACTGCAGATTGGTGCAGTAAATACCAGTGAAGTGGTTTTTATTCAGTTTTTGAAATGTAGATATAGTGAAATAAAACAATACTTACCATCACATCATTGTCGAACCAAAAATGATCAAATTAAATTTAATAACTAAAATAGTCCTGAAATAGATGTTCAAGGGGGACTAAACGGAGTGGGTAATTTTGGGAAAATTTACCTATTAGTAAGTTCTAATAACTGGCTAAAATTCAGCTTGTTTTAAATTTCATCTGAAAGAAAACCTTCATTACGTAGGCTATATTGACTTAGTATAGCAAACTACTTGTGTCCTTACTTAACCCTTTTGCCTTATTCTAAGAACTCTGTATAATTTTTTATCATTAACTGTTCTACTAGTGGATAAGTATTATTTTTTTACTTGACTAAGCAAAGCGATACGAGGGTTATGTGTTTGGGTTCTCTGCTATAAGCTATGTAACACTTTTTTGAGAACCCGGCTGGATCAATTTTTAAGTTTAATTATTCAAAAAGATTCCTGAGTGTTTTGAAAGAATTTGAGCTAAAAGTAAAATGAAATTATATTAAATGCAAAATAATTTCATTCTGGTACTGAAGTTCCCTTAGAATAATAGCAGAGTAGAATAAGTACTGTCCCATGATTAAATAAAATCTGTTTAATCAATTTTCAATCTACCAAGGTGTTTAAGTAGATATGAAAGTATATTCACTTAGGGTTGATAGAATTCCCCAAATTTCTATAGTTGGATTTTTTCTAATTAAAAATATTGTTTTCTTTTGGTTTTTTAATCATTTTTTTAGTTATGAAAAGAAAAAAAATGCATTAACGAGGAGTTTTAGATGTAAATGTCAAAGCACTAATTGGTTTCCCTCACCTCCCTACAGACCTTAACAATAGGATTTTATGTGACATGTTGAAAAAACGCCTCTCTCACTGGCCCACTCCTTTTCCCTTCTCTTAAGAAGAGTCTAGAACTTGTTTGATAACTGTCATTAATTATTTGTTTCTAATCAGTACTTTTCAGTCTTCTTTCATTAATTCATTAAGGCTTAATGAATGAGTAAACTTTTATTTTAAAGAACTATATAAATTAATCCACTCAGCCCAGATATATTAACTGATTGGGTTCACCCGAAATTGATTCATTTCAGGACAAATCTAGTGAAAGTTATGGCCTATGACTATTCCATAAGTTATATTGATGATTTATGGCTCCTGACACCTGACCGTTTTTATTAGTTTATAAGGATTTGCAAAGCTCTATGGCCCCTCAAAATCTCAAGAGCTGAAGGGTTTAAAATATGTATAAGGATTGAGTTGGTATCAGAGAAGTTCTTTTTGGGTGTATCAACTTTTTTTCCCTCCCTGTCACTTTGATAAACCAAATTTGGAAAAAAAAAAATTATTTATAAAATGTTCAAAAACAAAACCTCAGAAATATATTCAGTAGTTTAATTGATTTTGAAATTTTATTCAATTATGTTGGATAAGCATTAATAAAACCAAAAGTTTTCTAAACAAAAATGAGAGGAAAATGTAAACTCAGTGAGAGTTGTGCTGTTCATAAAATCCTTATACCAGAAATGACTGGGTATAGAGAGGATGGGAGAAGCTCTGCTGTCCTGATCTTTCCTTTTTTAATCTTGTTAAAATATTAAGTATTAAAACTGCTTAATTATTTTATTTTATAATGAAAAAGAAACTTATAGTGCCATATAGACTTATACACTTGTACACATATAAACTAATAGGTTTTTTTTTCTTCTTCCTTCATTGTTACCTTAAATAAATAAAAAAAAAACTTTTTGCTTTGTTGCAACAATTTTTGTAATTTTTTAAGAAAAAAATATTTTATAAGTGGATATATTTGCTTCCAATTCATGTATGAATATTATTTTATGTGAATTTATCGGTACATTATGTTATCAAAAACATTGAAATTGATTAATTATTGTTGTTGTTTTTTCTATTGAAAGAGAAATTTATATTAATAACTGTTTCTTGTTTTTTTTTCATATTTTATATATCTTTTCTTCTCTCTTTAGTGTTACATTGAAGGATGTAAAAGCCTTTCTGCCTAGGATTAACTGCAAAATTTCTACCAATAAATTGCGGGAACTATTTCAGGAAGTTGATACTAAAAAAAGAGGAGAGCTTCCCTTTGATGATTTTGCTCAACTCTATCATAAAATAATGTATGATGAAAATGTGAGTATAATGAAAATTAATCATTTTTCATCTATTAGCAGATAATTTTCTAATGATAGTCTCATAAAGTAGTATGGATTATTTGAGAAGTAATAACTTCATCAATATTTTTTGTTTTTTATGGCCACTGTCATTTTTAAATTATTTTTTTATGATGTACAGATTTTATTTTATAGTTTAGAAGTATGTTGGGTAAAACTCCCAGTTTTCAGCATCCCACCCAGTTTTTAGTACCCACTGCAGTTATTGAAGAATGTTAAGCGTTGGGAATGGTCTAGAGTTGGTGAAAGGCCCTCATTTGAATCGGGCATCCCTCCTGTGCTCACATATTTTAGTATCCCCCACTATTTATTTAGTTTTATATGTCGAAAAAATTGCTGAAGATTAGAAACCCGACAGATCTCACCCAGGAAGTACTTGTCTTACGTTTTTGACAAGAAACAGCATTCCTGCACAATTTCATTGTAGTCCTTTCATTATGAAGGCTGCCAGATTTAAGTTTTTGAATATTGGGTAAGAGGTGCTGAAAACTGGTACTTCAGGGTGCTGAAAACTGGCACCTACAGATATTTTTACGTTTTACTATAAAAAAATAAATGAAAGACAAACTCTCTAACCAGTACAAATGCGACCTTCTTTCACTCCCATCAATTGAAAGATCCTTGTATGTAGACTACACGGGCATTTACACAAGTTTCTACAAAACAGACACAATAGAGAACGGACTAAATATTATAAGAAAAGGAAAATAAAAATAAATGAATCCAAAACAGCAGCGATATTGTTCACCAAACAAAAACCTATCATAGCGAATCCTATTACCCTCAACGAAACTAAAATCCCCTGGGCTCAATCCAGGATTCTATTTCTTATCTTGGGCTGCAATGACAACATTTACATCACATATCAATAACAAATGCTGTAAAGATAAAAAACTTATCAGTACAGTGGCTCCATACTTTCGAAGAAAATCTGACCTTTCAATAAAAAACAAAATTATATTACATAAATCAGTTATACGCCCTTTAATAACAAATGCTTGTCTAATATGGAGTTACACATGTGACTCAAATTATAAAAAATTAGAAAGGGTACAAAATCTGTATTTGTATGAGAATAATAAAGGATTATCTAAGGTACACAAGAATGACCAAAATGTAAAACGATTTGTAATTTCAGACAGTTAAACAATTCATATACCGCAGACTGATAAATTTTTCAACTCAACAAACACTTCATTAAACCCCATAATTAAAACAATAGGAAATTGCAATTACTCTACATAATTTACTTGAATAAAAACTAACTAAAATAATGTTGTATGAGATATTCATAGAATACTTATTTTATTGTAGTTTAGATTAAGTAACATATACTGTACAATTTAATTTAAATGTATTTAGTTTTCATTATTGTTTAAATTATTTACATACCATTTTTTTATAGTAATTTTCCCACTGTCAAATAAACAAAGAAATAGTAGAATCCTTTAGTCTAAGATAGGTTTGTCGATGTTTTTCATATTTTTTTTTTTTTTTTTACGAAATTGGAATTTAGAAGAAAATTGAACATTGAAAAACGTGTTCTCGGTATGAGGTAATTGCTATGGCGAGGAGAGGCTGCGCGAGCTCCCTCTTCCTAAAGGCAAACTCATCTTAGACACTATAGTAGTTAAGTTTAAAATTTTAAGATTATCTTTAGTGTGAAATGTTATAATGTTGTACCAAACATGATCAATTTTTATGTATATTTTTGTAAATTATAAATTTCATTTAATTATACTGATCATCATTATATATTATTGTTAACTGAAAGATATTGTTTCACTTATATATTTTAAAATTAGAGATCTTTACTTATTTTACAGAACAGAAATTGCTGAACCAAGTACCTATTCGATTGAAAACAGGACAAACACATTTTAAAGTTTCCTTAAGGGTGCCAAAAACAGGGGGGTTTTAACTTAATTATGAAAATATTATATTTCAATGATTTATCTGTGTTGTGGCAAGCAATCCAGTTATTATTTATAAGTGTTTATTAATTTTTTTTAAAATAATTATTTATAGTTTTCTTACTAATTTGTAATTCACATCCTAACCCATTAGTTAGGTGAATCACATTTATACTATTTCCATAATTTTTTTAAAAATTACTTTTATAGATTCTTCATGTTTTTATGTTCTATATGTTTATATGCTCTTGTTACTAAGGCGACATATTTCATTGCGGATTTTAATGAATTAATTGTGAAAATCATTCTTCAGCTTTTCAGAAGAATATTTTAAAAACTCCACGATCCAATAGAATTTCATTAATCATAGCACAGTTTGTTAGTATATTGAGATCCCTTTGATTTTTTAAGACTACTTTGTTAGTAATGTTTATTAACATTTTGATTTTGTTAAGATGATGGTTTACTTTCTCAACTGTCAATCGAATCAATAATGAAATATAGATTTTTTTTTAGATTCTTCCCAACAATTCTGTTCTTCTCCCATGAAGATTCAATGATTTATATTAATGTTTTTATAACACAGCTTTTATAACTTTATTTATTTATTTTGATTTTTTTTTTCCAGACCTTTAAAGACATTTTGGATCTATATTCTTCTAATTTTGAAAATAAAAAAATTGTATCTGTTCAAGACTTGACAAAATTTTTAGTGCATGAGCAAGGTGACAGAGTAGATGGCAGGGAAGTTTCTAGACATATGAGAGAATATTTGCAAGATACACAACGGAATGTCCATGAACCATATTTTACAACTGTTGAGGTATTTATTTTTCTTTTACTCACTTTTTTTTTTAGTTTCAATGTAAGAAAGAAACTTTATCTGTATAAATAATTAAGAGGTCGTGTGGAGTCGGCTATAGAGAAATTTCAAAAGTTTTGACATCAAAGGATGTCTCATAAAATAATATGAAACTATTAAGTAATTTCTTATTAAGATAAAATATTCTTGTTTTAGTTTTTAGACTTCCTTTTCTCTAAGCAAAATGACATTTGGGATCATAGGTTTGATGAAGTATACCAAGATATGAACCAGCCTTTATCTCATTACTGGATTTCATCATCCCATAATACGTGAGTTTCTTTTTTAGTTTATTGTTTGTTTGTAAAATATTTTAATAATAATATGGTTTGTTTGACATTGTGTGTGCGCGTGCGTAATTGTGTGAATCCCATGAACTATGTAAGATTTTCTTCTGTTTCATCCTTTACGTTTCAAATATTAGTTAATCTCACTAATTATTATTATCGACAGGTTTTCTCACATGCAGATGACAATAGAAAAACTGTAGAGTGAGGTGTTTCTAGTTGATTTGCAACAAAACAGTTACTCATCGTTAGGTCATTTTAAAAATGACCTAAAACATCTTAAAAGTTTTTTCCATGCTGACCAGTTTTCCCAACAGGTAGCCTTGAAATCGACCCAGTTTCCCTCATAATCCTTTTTTATAGTCTGCCGATTAGAAAATCTGGGACAATTTTGGAGTTGAATTTGATATTCTTATTCTACCAGCAGCTGTTGCCTATGGCAGTACTGCAATCATAAATCATATCAACATATTTATTTAGATGAGTAGAAATATAGTATTTTTACTCTTAACTACGAATTGTATTATACCTTTCTATGTGTTTTCAAGTAACCAATTTTACTCTTTTTTCGCTAGTTAAGATCTCCAATAAGACAAAGTAAAAATATTGGATTAAATCTTGGAACTCAGAAAGATAATCCTTAGAATGCTAATACTCTGGTTACAGTTCGAAAAAAAAATAATAATTTTAAATCATTATTCATTAAGATATTTTTTATTAAACAGGTTAAACTTTAAGCAATTTCCATTTCTTGATGTTCACTTGAATTGAAACTATCCACATTATCTCATGTGGTTATTATTTTCAGTTAATTATATAAGTAATGTATAGTAAGAGAAAGTATTGCGATCATCAAACATTTTGAATCTCAGTTTTCTATGGAAAGATATGTTTTAAGGTTTCCTGAGTCCAAATAACTAAGCCCTTGTGCACTTGAGTATGGCATTAAATTCCTTGAATATTTTCATCTGATTGTGATTTAGTAAATCTATATTTGTGATTCTATGTGTGACTGTTTCATTGTATGGAGCTCCTGAAATCTGAGACAGTCTTTATGTTTAACTTTATGAGATTCTTCCAAAAGAAACCTTATTGTAAGAATCCATGTTTTAATAACCCCTTTAAGATATATTGTTACTACAAAGTAAAGCTTTATTGTTCTTGATTGCGATAAGAGTTCTGGTTTGTAACAGTCTTTTAAATTCGTTAAAATCAATGTTGGAGGAATGCATTTCTTTAAAAACTTATCTCAAGATTATACATAATGAGGAAGTAAAGTTCTAATGCATCATCATCATCATATTCCTGATTCCAATACCGCAGTGCAGTGTGGGCTATATCTTGTAGAGCTTGGACCAGGTTTCCCTTTCTTGAGCCAACTCTCTTCTCTTACTCCAATCCATACCTCGCTTCCTGAACGCCTCTTGTACACTGTCTTCCCAGGATATGCGTGGTCTTCCTCTAGGTCTCCTTCCCTCCACACGGGTCTCGTATTACTTCTTGGCTGCTCTCTCTTGATCTATTCTAAGATGTCCGAATCGTCTTAGCTTGTGCTCCTCTAGGATGGTTTCAGCCGGTTTGACCTCAAGGCTAGTCCGTACAGTGGCATTCCGGACCCTATCTCTTCTGACCTTACCCTCGACCTTCCGAAGGTATCACATCTCCATGGCTTGAATTCGACTTTTGTGTTTCGAGGTGAGGGTCCACGATTCAGAGGAGTATGAAAGGATAGGGAGAAATGTCGATTTGTAGACTGCTACTTTAGTTCGCTTCGTTATCTCTCTTCTGCCCAGAAATCCCTCCGGAGCAGATAGAACACTCTGCCAGCTGTCCCAATTCTTTTACTCACCTCTTCATCAACATAACCACTTTCGTTGAGATGAGCACCCAGATACTGGAAATTATCTACCTGCTCCAATCTCTCACCACTTGCTCTCATCACCCTCATTATTCATTATTCTTCCCTATTCTGATGCATTTAGTTTTCCCCGGGTTAATCTTCATGTTTATCATGGCTATTTCTTCCTGGAGGATGTTGATATTGTATTAAAGATCTCGATCGTTGGCAGCTAGCAAGACCAGGTCGTCAGCAAATGCCAGCACAGAGAATCTTGTCGGTTGCAGTTTTCGGTGTCCTAACTGGAACTGCCTCATCCTTAGTTTAGCCTTTCTAAGTGCCATGTCTAAAACTATTATGAACAGTAGCGGGCTTAAGCTACAACCTTGGCGAATACCTAATGTCGTCTCAAATTCTCCTGAAATGTGGTTCATGGTCCTAACCCACATTTCTGGTCTTGTTATAGAGACTCATCACAGCCAAAATTGGTCAATGCCCTCTTTCAGACAATGCCCGCTCTATATCTTCCTTCCTCACTCTGTCGAAAGCCTTTTGGAGGTCCACGAAACAGACAGAAAGCTCTTTATTCTTTTCGACAGTCTTTTCTGTAATTTGGCGCATTGTGAAGATAAGATCCTGCGTACTTCGCTGCCCTCTGAAGCCGTATTGTTCTTCCCCGAGCTGACTATCGACCAACCTTCTTACCCTTGTCTCCATTATTCTGGAATGAACTTCACTGGGTGCACTAAGAAGCGATATTCCTTGATGATTCCCACACTCTCTATTATCTCCTTTCTTATAAATGGGCATGATCACTGCCACTTCCCAGTCTTTCGGAATTTTCTTTTCCTTCCGAATCAGGTTCAGAAAATGGAGGAATATCTCTTAGCCTTAATATCCATGAACTTAATCATTTCGGGACTGACTTCATGGGTCGGTCCCTGCTGCCTTGCCTAGCTTGATCTTGTCGATAGCTTCTGATGTATACTGTTTATAAATTCTAAATCTATTTCCTCTATCCAACTTTTAATTTTATTTAAAAAATGGTTCATCATCATAATGGCTACATCTCACTTTTCAAAGAATTTTGGTGAATCATTTGAAATTTTGAACTATATATTTCTCAGCAAATTCTCATTCATTGCTCTACTTTTTCACATAACAAAAATCCATTGAATAAAAATTTTGTTCTTTTTATGCTATCACCAATTTAAAAAAAAATACATTTTTTAATTTGAATTGAAAAAAAATTATATTAAAATGAAGGATGTTTAAGTGATTCTGCTTGGTTCGCTCAATAAATACTCCATGCACAATATAAATATACATCTTTAATTTAAAAAAAAAAAAAAAAAAAACTTTGAGTATTAAAATTAACAAATATATAAAGAAAAGAAACTTTATACAAAAATGACAAATTCAGTTGCAGAAAAATTAATTACAGAATAAAGGAAAAAAAGATCAAGTTTTATAAACAAAAAAATACAAAAATAAGATTATGCTTGCCAATTATCAAAAATCTTGAAGAGTTGCAACTCCAGCACAAATAGTTCAATACTGCACGGAGCCCAGACGATTGTAATGACACTAGGTGAAAACTGCACATTTTAAACGTTAGCGACTGAATTTTCCAATTTTTTTTAGCACAAAGTGTTTCAAAAAACCAAATCAATATTTTGCATCGAGGCTGGATGATCAATTGCCTGAAGAGATATGCAGAAGCAGGGCTGGAGTAAAATGCAGCACTGATTACTGTTGTCATGAATTATATAAGTCATCAATGTGCTACTTAATTATATATCATGTTATTTTACAATTGCAGCATTTAGGACCAATCTTTTTTAAAGTGTTAATAATCTAATAACTAGATTTGATAATTTTGTATTGGAAATAGAGTTTTCATACCAATGCATTTGAAAAATATGAATTTTTAAGTTTTTGTAATGCTTGATCCTTTTAATAATTTGTATATTTTCTAATTTTTTCATCTATAGATCTTGTATCTTGAATAGAAAATTGGTCATGCTTAGAATATTATTGTATGGCTGAGTTAAGGTTAAGTAAAGACTGAATATATTACTTTTAAGTTAGTATTTGAACTTATTTGATTTATGACCAAGTCTCATTGTCAAAATTAATTACTTAACATTTTCTCACTTTTATTCAATCATTTGTTAATAAATATATATTTTTTTTTCAGTTATTTAACCGGAGATCAGTTTTCTAGTGAGTCATCTTGTGAAGCTTACGTACGTTGTTTGAGAATGGGTTGTAGATGTATAGAACTTGACTGCTGGGATGGACCAGATGGAATGCCAATAGTTTATCATGGTCACACTCTAACAACTAGAATTAAGTTTATGGATGTTATAAAGACCATCAAGGAACATGCTTTTGATGTTTCTCAGTAGGTTTAGGTTTACTTTTATCATTACATCATATGTTTCAATTTGAGGCATTGACTTTAAATGTTCTTTGGTAAAAAATCAATCCTTACTATATACCTCTTAAGAGACAAAGGTTCTAATATAATGAATTTTGGCTAATCTTTCTTCTCTGTCCTTTTAAAATTCACTCTCAATCTTATCAGAAAACTGTTTCCTCATTATCCCTCTCCAAACTTGCCTTCAACTAACTATGCCACTCCTCTGAAAACAACCGATTTCCTCTGAATCGTCCATGTAGATTTCTCTAAAGGCCCTTACACTCTGGGTCAGTGAATATGTTAGTGAAGATCTCATGCACATCAAACCACTTGGTCCCAATGCCCAAGGTATTCAAACTTATGAAATTACTTATGTGGTTCTACAGTTCAGTAGATTAATGAGGATGTCTAATTGACCATGACTAGTTGATATTCTCAGAATTAGTTTATTCCTTCACTATTGATTAGCCCAGTAAGAACCAAAAAACTTTACAGATCTATATTCTAATCACTATACCAAGGTATATGAAATCCACTACCTCCTTCATCATCTCATCACTACTAATAATCTAACAATCTTCATGAATTTATCAATTTGAGGGGCTTTAGCTCTGGAGCCAGGGCCCAAAAATCATTTTTTTGGGCTCATCACAAGCGAAAGTTTAAATGTAAATTACAAACTGTTTGCTATTCTAAATAAAATAAACCTTGTCTGCCCATTCCAGAACTGCTCTGGAACACAAGTTAAAAAAATAACTATTCCCACATTTTTCATAACATATTTTCTGTTTCGATCCTCAAGTTACTGGCCTAATATTCTTTAAATCAGCTGCCATTTTTGTAAGAATCAGTTCTGGAAACTTTCGCTTGCAATGAGGTAGATTTTTGGACCCTGGCTCTAGGGCTACTTGGCTTTTTGTAGAATTAATAGTCATTCCTTTTCTCTTCTAGTCCTCACCCTCCTTTGTTACTGCGTGCTGAAGTTGCTCAGGAGATTTAGCGATAAGCGTAATGTAATCTGCAAGTAAGAATTACTTTATAACGACATGATTTGGATTTGTGCTCTGCATCTTTTACAGATGGAGACTATTCATATATTTTCACAATAAAAAGAGAAGGACTTAGAGACTTGGCTTGTTTTACTTCCTTCTCGAAACGAAACACTCCTGGTTTCTCTCCATTTCAGTGCATAACACCCTTCAGCTCATGGTACATTGATCTTATAACTTTTAGAAGCTTAATAGGAATGTCTTTGCTTTTAAGAATTCGAAACTTTCTTTCTAGGGCACTGGATCAAACACTGGTTTCAGGTTGATGTTGCAGTTATGTTCCCAGGACTGACTTCTCTTTCACATTTTTGAGGGTGATCTGATCTTGCATTTGTCTGTTGGTTCTAAAAGCACTTTGTTCTTCCTCCAGGCTGGCTCTCATGATATAGATAGAGGTATATACTTAGTAAAGCACAGGAGAAAGGCATGTAGATCTGTGGTTGGAACTATCACTTTAGTATATCTTCAAAACACAATAAACTTGGTATAACTTTGTGTTCAAAGTTTGGATTGAGTTCCGAATGGACAAAAATCTCTAAATTATTTTAGGGTTTCCTGAAATATTTTCAAGTTTAGATTTATCCCCTTTGCATCTCAACCCCTCAGTCTATTATGTTAGGAACTGAGTCATAGTATACTTAGTACTTGATTTTAATCATAATCTTTTTCTTAGTCATTTATACAATATAATAACATTTATAATCATCATCATCATAGGCAATATAACCCAGTATGGGTCACTGCCTCCATTCCTCTTTGTCTTGTGCAAGCTTCTGCCAAACTCTAGTGTCCAGAAGCTTCTCTGCATCGGCTTCGACCTCATCTGCCCATCTCAGTCATGGCCATCCTGTCTTTCTTCTGCCATCCACATAACCGAACAGTAGCAGTTTGATTGGTGAGTCCCCATCCATTTTAGCCTAGAGAGCCATATAAATTGCACCACATCGGGTTCCCGGTAAATTTGTACAACTCTACATTATGCCTTAGCCTATATTGGTTGTCAACTTTACATGGCCAAACATCCAAAAAAACCCTGCAACCTGATGGCGTCTGTTCATGATAATGGCCATGTCTCTGAGCCATATGTTAGTACAGGTCTAATAAGAGATTAGTACAGAGCAATCTTTGTGGATCCAACCAACAAATGACTTCTTAATATTTTATTCAGGTCAAAATAAAACCTATTAGCTGACATCATTCATCTCTGTACTTCTTGGCTAGTCATATTTTCTGTACAAACTAACTGGACTCTAGATACACAAAATTATTTGCGCTTTCAAATGTGTTTCCTCCAAATGTAACTGTAGGTGGTGGTGGCCTTGGTGAGTTAGCAGTCATATATTTGGTCTTAGCTTGGTTAATACTTAGACCCATTACCTGTCCTGCTGCCTCTATAACTAAGGTCCTTTCTAAGTCCCTCTGTTATCTAGCTATAATATCTATGTCATCTGCGTAGGTAGAATATGTACTGACTTGGTTAGAATCATCCCATTTCTTTGCACTTCGGAGTCTCTTATCACCTTTTCTAGTGCAAGATGAAAGAATAAGCATGATAAGCCATCGCCTTGTCATAGGCTCCTTGTGATTGTGGATGCCTCTGAAAGGTCTCTCTGTATTCTGACTTGACACCTTGATCCTACCATCAGCAGCTCTGTAAGATGGATCAATTATAGGGGAATATTCATTGTTCCATAGTCTGGTACAACTTCTCTCTGATGACACTGTCATATGCACTTCTAAAATCTACGAAAAGGTGGTGTGTAATGATATTATATTCTCTTGTTATTTCAAGCAGGGTCCTTAAGGCAAAGATTTGATCAGTGGTAGATCTCCCTTTCATGAAGCCACATTGGTAGATTCCTACTTTTCTATCTGCATGCGGAAGTAGCCTCTAATAGATGACATTAGATAACACCTTATATGTGCAATTGACGAGAGTTATACCATGGTAATTATTGCAGTTGGTTTGATCTCATTTTTATGGAGATGGATGATGATGCCGGTGTACCATTCCTCAGCCATAGTCTTAGTTATCCAATACTATGGAGAAGGTCACAGATAACTTTGATTAGCTCGTTCTCTCCAACCTTCAGAAGTTCCACGGCCATGTTACAAGATCCTGGGTTCTATTGTTCTTACGTTTTTGGATGGAGTCATAGATTTCCTAGTCGTCTGGTGGATCGGTTAACTCGAAGCCATTGTATAGAACAGGAATCACACTATTCACCGTGGAGTCCTGGGGGGTTCCCAAAGTACTTCCAAAATGGGTGACCAATCTGCCAAGAACGGTATCTTTGCTTGTAATTAATGATCTTCTCCTCAGCAAGCATTGGATCTAGGCTTAAATTCTTTATGCATTCACATTCTTTTAGAATGCTCTCACATCCGCTTAACTCCTTTGTTCTTCGATTTCCTTTAGTTTTTCCTTCTCTGAATGCATTTCTCTTCTCGCCTTCTGTCTTTATATTCCTTACCTGCTTGGTGAGTTCTGTGCCTCTCTATCATTACCGCTAACTTAAAACCAACCCCAAAGACTAGTTGATTCCGTTGGGAACTATAATAGATGGTATGATCTTTCTTCTCCAGGATTCCATTGCCTACCCATCTTATTTCTTATAGTGGAGTGATGTCCGTCTTATATTTAGAAAGTTCATCCAGGAGCAATTTTAATGCTCCAGCTCTATACAAGGTAAGAACATTCCGTGTCTCCAACTTGATTCCCTAAGAACACAGGGGCGATACCGTTTAGACTGTCCAAATCCGAGGCAATTTTCTTGATGTTTCCAAGTCAAGAAGTTTTGTGAGAAAGGAGCAGCTGACTCCTCTGCTCAACCTCCCAACCTAGAGGACCACTCCTGTAACCCTAGGAATGGGCCCTTACTGTGTGCTATCAGCTATTCCAGATAAACCCATGTTTTTTCATGAGGTTGTTACTCCTCCCTCCAATTATTCGTCATTCATGACATGCGGATCTGGTGCTGGTTTTTGGCGAAGAGATGAACCAGAGACTGGCTAGAATAGGCTCACAAATGACACCTGTAGCTCCGGAACCCATCTGTGGAATCAGTCTGTGTATGACAACAAACAGAATCGGGGAGATATATGGTGCTGAAAACAAAAAGGACTGGTGCTTGAAAAACAGACCCGCTATAGACAGTTTCTGGAAGGAATCTATCAAAAAAGAACTAACTTACTAATTAATCTGAGCAGGAGCTCACTGAAGAAAATTACAGCAGTATATATAGGGCACTGTAAACTGAATTATCATATGTTCAAACTCCAGCTTTGTAGGTACTGTGGCCGGGAGGATGAGACAGCATATCATATTACCTGCTGGTGCGATAGGTTTGCTGGTTTAAGATTTCGATTATTCGGCATTGATAAGGAGAAGGATTCCAAGGCAAACCAGTTTATCAATCCAACAAACTTATTATAGTTCATTGAGACTGCAGGAATTACATTCTAAACAGAAGTGACTTTAAATAATGCGTACAATAGGCCTACATGGCCGCTGTGCACTCATGCCGCTACAAAAAAAAAGTGCTCCTTTTTCTTCCTGGCTTTGGACAGGCAATGGCGGAGTTATATATTTAATTAATTATAAATAATAACATTAAAATTAATTGAAAAATATAATAAGAATGATTTTCTAAGAACAAGAAGAGCAGAATTTCTTCCTGCCTATGCCCAGCTAAACCATCATCTATCTAATCATTATATAACAAATGATGCAAGCTCAGATATTGTTAAAATAATTCTTTTAACAAGAGGAGAACTTTTAGATTTTAACTGTCAATGCTGAAGACACGATAGTTTCCATGTTCTCTCTATGTAATATGAATACCCCTGAAGACACATACCATTTCCCAAGAGGGCGGGCTGGCTGAATGGGCTAAAGCGTGTTCACAGCACCGCGAGTTGCCTGGCGACTGGATAAACAGATTTGAGAAGGTTAAAAAAGTACGAGTTCGCGTCCCGGTGCCGGAGGGGATTTCAAATTTCCCTCACTCCCCCCTCCCCTCCCCCCTCCGGTCCGGGAAAATCCCGTATAGCCTAAAAGGCGAGGTAGGGAAGAAAAAAACATACCATTTCCTAGCCATTGTCCGATCTTAAGAGATATAAGAATTTCAGCACTTTCAAAAACCACTATCTCACAAGAGGAAATGATAGAGCTCTTTAACTGTAAGTATAGGAAATACTGAGTTCAACAATTTAGTTTTAATTGAACTCTGGATCTCAATGTATAAACATGGAATTTATCACTTTACATATTACTTATTTTTTATTTATATCTTGGCAGTAATTTTCAATAGTGTATCAAGTATGAATAGTATAAATAAAAAAACTTAGTAATAGATTTGTTGTTGTTATTCAGTAGTATTTGGTATTATAGTTGAGTGATATGTTTTCTCAATTTTTTTGTATAATTATAATGTAATGTATTTGTAAGTTGGAAAAAAAATTAAAATAAAAGTTAATAATAATTAGTGTAATTAAACATGAAAGGCTACAAGCCGACAGACGGACAATAATGCATGTCATATTTGTTAAAAAATATATAGAGAGAGAGATTAACAAAGAAAATTTGTATTTATTTTTTAAATATAAGATTTATTATGTTATTTTGATTAACAATAAACATTCTTTCTGTATATCTAAATAATAACATTAATTAGAAAATTTATTTCAGATATCCTGTTATCTTATCAATAGAAGACAATTGCTCTTTACCTCAACAAAGGTATATGGCTGCTGCCATGCAGGAAGTTTTTGGTGAACATCTACTAACTCATGCTGTAGAAAAAAATGAATCCTATCTTCCATCACCCCAGCAACTTATCCAAAAAATTATCCTCAAACATAAAAAGTTACCTGAAGGGGCAGATGATGGATCCATTCTCCTCAGGCGTGAAGATGGTAAGTTTTTTATATATTTTTTATTTTCTCTTACCTATATATGAAATATATAGTACGGTAAAGTATTGCTATCTTAATTTATTTTTTAAGTAACACACTATTATGAATATAAATTGCTGGTCAAATGTATTCATCACTAGGAATTATAATGTAAAAAAGTAATTTTGAAACATTGAGTGGAATATTTTACTTTGAGATTATCATCCAAGACCGTATAAACATAATAAAACGATATTGTCATTATTGGTGGATCTGACCATTCTCTATGAGATGCTTTAATAACAAGTAGAGAGTTTTTTGTTTGTTAGGGTGGGGTGGCCGAGCAGACTAACCTAATGCATGTGCATAGCACCATGCGTTGCCTGGCAACGTATTGACATTAATAACCAAAGTTATAGAAAATAAAATAATTTTGAGTTTGCATCCCTTTTTAGGGGACGCTTTTAACTCTGACATTAATCCCCTATCCTCACCTCCTCGACCGGAAAAACGCTCTATTGCCTAAAAGGCAAGTAAGGGAAAAACAAAAAAAAAACAGCTTCAGATGTTATTTTGGTTTCTCTCAGCTCAAGAAAAGCAGGTTTATCTCTCATCAGATCATACTAAAACTTTACAAGACCCTCTGGTCTATATTCAGCAGAAACTTGGTCCACAATGAAAACAGATAAGAGTCAATTATGTATATTCGTAAGAAAAATATTGAAGAAGATTTATGGTCCTGCCCTTGGGGGAGATGCATGAGCAAGACTTATGATTGCGGAGCGGTATAATAGCATGGACATGTTGGAATTTTTTGAGCTAGGGTGACATTTTTGGATGTATATTATAGGGAGGTGGAGTGGCCGAATGAGCTAACACGTGTGCACAGCACTGCATGTTGCCCGGTAACCAGATAACCTTAATTATGAGATTTAAAAAAGTACGAGTTCGTGTCCCGGTGCTGGAGGGGATTTTAAATTCCCCTCCCTCACTCTCCAGCCCGTGAAAATCCTGTATAGTCCAAAAGGCGAGATGGGGAAGAACAAGAAAAACAAGGATGTGTATTACATAGATCCCCAAAAAACTTATAACAGAGGACTCACATTAGACTCACAGAGCTGAGACAAAAAGCAAGATGGTTGTTTGTAATGGCAGCAGATGTTTGACAATGAAATTTAATAGCTATTCTTCAAAATATAACAAACCGCCTGAGGCCTAGATTCAGTAATGAATTGTTGTGCTATCATGTAGTAGTTGTAATTTAAATTAAATCAAAGAGGGATTGACTGCAGATGTCCCTCAAATGGATATGATGAGGAAAAGCCCATCACCAATGTTTTGGCGAATGTTGGCTTGATGTTTAAAAGCATTTATACATTGGATTTTAATTTGATTGATTTTATTCAAAACATTTTCAATTTCTGATAAAACTTGCCATTTTAGAGACTTATTATATTATTTTAGAAGAATATTTTCTATGGTTACCATAAATTCCACAACCTACTTAATTCTACTTTAAGGATTATAAGGTTTTAGAATCACACAGTGGTTATTTTCTGATCAACAATTATATATCATCTTATTCTCTTCTATCCTAATTTACCACTAGTTGCTTTATGCATTTAAAATAGTTGGAGTTATTTTAAAATAATTATTTATTTTGATCCTATAGTTAGAAAATAAATAAAGTATTATTATTGAATATTTATTAATATACCCAAGGGAAAGATAAAAGAAAAAGAAAATTATATTGATCCTATTTTAAACTTTTTTTTTTTCAGGGCGAGAAATGGATTTACGTAATACTGTCAAAAATGGTATTTTATATCTGGAAGATCCAGTTGATAAAGAATGGAATCCACATTTCTTTGTTCTAACACAAAATAAACTATTTTATACTGACAGTTACCATGGAGCTGAAGAAGTTGATGACGAAACTGACACTGAAGAAACTGGTCCCATAAGCATATTGAAATTAAAAGAGGTATTTTAAACGTTTATTTAAAGTATGTATGGAGCAAAATTATTAATTGTAATTCACATTCTTATTGATTAATTAAGGTTTTTATAGAGCTGAATTTTAGCACCTGTCTGAAAACTTAAAAAAAAAAAAAACTGTAAAAGTATATATATTTAATTACATTCACGTATATGAAATTTTTATTTATTTGTATTAATAATTATTATGATTTATTTTTGAGCCTGACTCAATGAAATGTTTGCCTATAATGCAACTTAAGTGAAAGCCAAACAATTTTTTTTTAACAACTAAGTATTTCTAAAGTTTAAATTAATAATTTTTAAATATAACATAAAGATAAGCGAGTTTATATATTATATATACAAATAAATGGAAGTTTCTGTTTTGTTTTCGTTTTTTTTAACAATTGCATTGAAAGTGGATTCTGTTGAAGTACTAAATATGTTTTCATCCGTATTCTTTTAAATAAGTCATTGACTATTGTCAATAAGTCATCTGTAAGTTAAAAAAAATATATATATATAAATTAAGTTTGAAATGGTGCCCTAAATAAAAAGACTTAAATGGTGTGTAGAGGTGATGAAAAGTATTCTGTCACAGGGGCATGGAGAACTGTCAGGTAATACCATCCGCAAGGTCACTCCTCCCTTTCTGCTCAACGTCGCTAAAAGTTTAATACAGTTGTCATTTAATTATCAAATTTAGTCAGTTATTTTTCTTGCACCTAAAATATCCAATAAAATTTATATATTATAAGTTCTACAGCTGTAGCAATATGTAAATTTAAAAAGTTGGACAAAGACAAAGATTTCCTAAATGCATTGATTTAATATTGCACGTGTGCATTAAATTGGGAATTTTCATAAGAAATCGGGAAATTTTGAAAAAAAGAAAAAAGAATTATGAATGAGTCAGAGATTTCTATTATCAAATTTAGTTGGCACCGTCGTATGTGAAGAGTCTAGCTTGAAAACATAAAGTTGTAGGAAATGGAAATCCCATCGTTAAAATTAATTATATGCATGGAATACAGAGATGTATAAAATCGGAAGAAAAAAAAAAATGTATAAGAGCCATGTCGACTTATACAATCTGGCCAGGATTCCCATGGTATTTGCGGTAGACCCGCAGGACAGGCCTGTCCTACCTACGACACCTCTCCATCGTCGCCACTTCGACCACCACATATGCCCTTCTGTCGCTCCTATCAACACTTCACTGGCGTAGTGCACTGCCTTATATTATCGTTTGGGTATGGCCCAGAGTCCTCCGCCTCAATTCATATTTATAGCAATATATTTTTCCAACTTATGAACACTGCTTGAAATATTTTCAGCAGTATGCACTTCTTCATGCCTCCTTTCACAAATGTACGATAAAAAAGTTCTTAAAAAACTCCAAACCAACTATTCTATGCATTATACAGGGTGACCCGCAAGTAGAGGTAAATTTTTATAGGAGTAATAGCAGACCTCCTCAAAGCCTACAAAAAAGTTCATATAAACAATGGGCCAATTCTCCTCAGCAGAAAAGTAGGAAATCCAAGTTTAGTGGTTTTTAAGAAAGTCATTCTTTTTGATGAATTGGAAGTGATAACTAAAGAAATATTTAATTTAAGTAATTAATAATTGTTTCACTGTAAACTAGTTAAAAATTTTTTCAAATGAAAATAGAATTTGTCATTGTTAAAACCATTTCAAGAGGACTTTTGAGCAGCCAAACTTGGCTAAGTTCGGTTTTTAAAAAAATCATAAATTATTGGCAATTTTTTTTATTATTTATTATTATTTATTTATTATTATTATTATTTTATTTGTTCGCCATTTTAAAGAGATCCCGAATAGATACATCTACGAAAAGCAAGTACTTTCTGGGTCTGAATGGTCGAATGCCCTAAAACTAAACATTAATTATGCACCCCTGCGTGGAGTCCCAGGAGTCAGCGGACAGGTCGGAGAAGTTGGGTCCCTCTGCCGTAAATGCGGCAGAGAGTCTGAAACACCAGCCCATGTGCTGGGAAAATGCCCCAACAACTCCCTCCTCATAACACGTCGTCACCACCGGGTCAAGTTCGAGTTGATGAGGCTCCTTAGGGAAAGGAAATTCACCTGCTTTGACGAGGTATATTGCATCGACAGTGAAGGCTCTACGAGATACACGGATATCGTAGCATTTCCTAAGACAGGAAGGACAGCGCTGATCTTGGATCCAACTGTCCGCTTTGAGAGCAATGACCTCTATCAGGCGGGTGAAGTGGAAAGGGAAAAGAAGAACACGTACGATAAATGTATCCCTTTCCTAAAAGATAAATTCCGTGAGACCTTCGGAGAGAGAGAGTTCACCGTGAGAGGCCTCTGGTTTGGGTCTCACGGAACTATCCCAAAAAGAACAAGGAGCTTCCTCGAGGAACTAGGTGTCGACATTAAGGACGTAGCGAGGTTGGCTGAAAATATAGTCCTGGATTCCCTGGGAATGATTCACCACCACGTGCATGGCTGGCCCGAGAGTTTTAATTTATGTATTTATTTATTTATTTAATGAATAATTGAAAACAATAGAGATAAAGAGAGAGAAGTGAGAGAAAGGGAAACTAAATGTTAAAAAAAAAAAAAAAAAAAATGCATGAACAATGAAAGGAAAGAAAAAGGAAATAATAAAAATGTATATATATATATATATATATATATATATATATATATATATATATATATATTTTACTAATATTAACTAGTACTTCTGTATATTTATATATAAGTTCATATATTGTCCTAAGGATAGAAGAGTATGCTGTGTATATAACAACCCAATATCATTGGGCAGCAATCCTTTATATTTTATATTTTATGAAAATAAAGTGTTTCTCTCTCAACTCAACTACAGATTCTCTACTTTTAAAAAAACTTCTTTGTTTAATAAGCTTCAAGTCCACATTAATTAAATTAAGGTTTACTTGGCAAATTCTTGAGATTCACCTCAAGTTGTATAAAGAAATGTGATTTTTCATCTTGTCACCTAAAAGTACCTGTGTTTTCAACAAAATTGACTACAATTAACTGTTGCAAAGCTTTTATTTCTTGTTTTTCAATGATCTGGGAAAAATTATAATAAAGATTATTTTTTAAGTATACTTGTTATTTATAAATAAAAAATAATAATATTGATTTGTTAAATACTTTTCATGTAAAGTGTTTACGACTAGAAACATTAAATTTGTCACTAATAAATAGGGACCAATTCCTATGACAGAGATCTGGAAGAAAAACAGTTTCATAAATAATTTCCATGAAAAATATTACAAAATTATTATTATTATATATTTTTTATTTATAAATAAAAAGTGTATTTAGGCAATTATATTTATTAAAGTAAATCCTAATCATACAAAAAACAATAATTAAAAGCTTTGCAACTGTTCATTGTAGTCATATTTGCTGAAAACATGAACACTATTAGGTGACTGGATAGAAGTTGGCATATCTTTACACAACTTGAGGTGAATCTGAAAAATTTAGTAAACCTCAATTTAATTAACATGAACTTGAAGCTTATTAAAGAGAAGAGAGGAGAAGTTTTTCTAAAAGTGGGGTATCTGTAGTATAGTTGGATAACGATAACAAAAAATTGCCAATAATTTATGATTTTTTTTTAAAAACCGAACTTAGCCAAGTTTGGCCGCTCAAAAGTCCTCTTGAAATGGTTTTAACAATGACAAATTCTATTTTCATTTGAAGAAAATTTTATCTAGTTTACAGTGAAACAATTATTAATTACTTAAATTAAATATTTCTTTACCTATCACTTCCAACTCATCAAAAAGCATGACTTACTTAAAAACCACTAAACTTGGATTTCCTACTTTTCTGCTGAGGAGAATTGGCCCATTGTTTATATGAATTTTTTGTAGGCTTTGAGAAGGTCTGCTATTACTCCTATAAAAATTTCCCCCTACTTACGGGTCACCCTGTATAATGCATAGAATAGTTGGTTTGTAGTTTTTTAAGAACTTTTTTATCGTACATTTGTGAAGGGAGGCATGAAGAAATGCATGCTGCTGAAAATATTTCAAGCAGTGTTCACAAGTTTGAAAAATATATTGCTGTAACGTTTAATAACATTAGCCTCAATATTAGGTTTAAACAATTAAATATTCGCTAAAGGGCATTTAGCAGAAGGGAACCAATCCAAAAATGAGTTAACAGGTTTTGGATGGGAAAAGTCTTTGTTATGTTTTTACAGAAATGAGCAATATCTTTTATTTCATTACTGACAGAGAGAAATTTTATTTATTTTATTGAGAAGTAGGTAAATAAAATCTTCCTTATTTTCCATTTCTTGTTACTTTTTTTGTTTTCACTTCGAGAAGTGCTAAAGATCTTAATAACCATTATTAAATATTATCCATAGCTCTTTATCAGTTTTTCCAAATTCATTTTTTCACTACTGTTTTGGTAGCCAAATATATAAAAAGATTTTTAAATACATGCTCCTTGACTAAAAGTATAGATTGAAAAGGGATTTTAAATTTAATGACAAAGTTATATAAATGGATATGAAAAGGCTGAAAAGGAGCTATGGGTAATATTTAATAATGTTTATTAAGAAGCCCCGATGATGAAGATAAGGAAGATTTTATTCAACTACCTTCATTAAAACATAACAATATATTGGTTCAGTTTTCTTTAATATCTTTTAGATGTTGACATGTACCATTGAAGGAAATCTACTTTCCTGAAGCCAAGAAGCTAGTGTAGGGCTTGTGTACAGTGAAGGGCACTCGAATCTTACATGTAGTTGAAATATTTGTAAACGTCAATTTTCCTAACAATCCACCAAAATCTTTTAGTAGATATGCAATTACATTCCCATAACATGTTTAAGATTTTTCAGTTTCTATAATCGAGGTCTTTATTTAATTAAAATGAATATTTTTTTAATCTTTTTAGTTTTTCAAGTATTGACAATTTATATTCAAGATGATATGATATCAATACAAAATTGAAAATATTCAAAATGTAATAAATATTTGTTCTCATTTTTTGAGCTAAAATAGTTTCGAATCCTTTATGAGATCTCACTAAGTAATTTGAGCCATCTAACTTAAATTTGGTCCAACCATTCGCTTAAAAACCATTACGTATCTTTTAGTGGATTGATTAAATCATGTATTTTATAAAAAATTGTTCCCATTTTTACCCCAAATTGTTTCAAAATACTGACAGCATCTCACCTAATGATTTGAGTCATCAAACTTAAAAATTGGTCCAATTATTCACTCAAAAAATCATTAGATACCTATTAAGGCAGTTTGTTATTATCTTGTTATTCTGAATTTTCCATATTTTCTTGTCTGTTATAGCTTTAATGAAATCCCTTTTTATTATTTATATGTCTGCATTATTTTATTTTTAATTAGTATATTTATGTAATTATTTATTTTTTATTTGCAGGGGATACCAAATGATGAACTTCATTATGGTGAAAAATGGTTTCATGGAAAACTTTCTGGGGGGAGAGCTGAAGCGGAAGCCCTTCTTAAAGCATATTCACATCTGGGTGATGGTACATTTTTAGTCCGAGAAAGTGAAACCTTTGTTGGAGATTATTCACTTTCATTTTGGTATGTTGTTCTTTGCCATTGCTCTCAAAATACTTCCATCTTTTCATTTAATATTCCTTCAAATCCTCATTAGAATTACTATTTAACTTTTATTACGTTATTAGCTTTTACCACTATTAATGGAAAATAAGCATTGTGGCTAGATAATGTTTTATTACATTAGTGGTTGTGATATTGAATATATTTTAATTTTAGTTCCTATGGAGTTTAGTGAGGATTTAAACTTATTCCTATAATTGGCACCAGGGTCTGATCAATCAGAGGGGAGTCCTCATTTGACAAGCAGGAGAGGAAGACAACTATCAGTTGTCCTGATGAAGGTCTTATAAAAGACCGAAACCGGTTACGCAAAAGGGAAAAATAAAGGAATATACAAGAAGACCATGTATTTTTTGTTAAATTTAAAAAAAAAGCTTTTGGGCTGATTCCACTAGTGGGCCTGGGCAACAGAATTTAGAAGACGGCTATAAAACTAATTTTTTTTAGGTGATAAATAGTCAGGATGCAGTAAGTTTTAAGGTTTTTATTAGTGTCAAATTTCAACCCAAACATATTGGTTATCATCAGGGTATGTTTCAAGCACTGAAGTACTGTACTTGAATACCTTCAGTGCTTAAAACACACCCTGATGATGACCAACATGTTTGGGTTAAAACGTGGGCACTAATAAAACCTTAAAAATGACTGCGTAAAGCAATGGTAGTAGTTGTCATACCAGTCACACGTAATCGACAACAGGATAGAGTTTAAATTTAATTCTTGATCTAAGTCTTAAATATGATATATTATAAAATATTTCCATTTGTTCACAGCCTACCATATTTTACAGCCATTATACTCTTAATAGTTATACTGTTCTCAACATTTCCTCCAACTTTCGATCAAATCTAACGAGCCTTTTCAAATTGTAAGCATGTTAAAAAGATTATGGTTGCAGATTTAGAAGCGGAAGTATTTCTATTATTAAGTAGTGGGTAGAATTTGATGAAATTGATACCTGCTTGAACATTTGTTTATTAATCCCCTAACTTATCTTCAACTTCGGGCCAAATGGAATGTGTGGTTTTTGAGATATAGGTGTATCGAGGCAAATATGTTTGCGAATATTTAAGAGAAAGCAGTGGAGGGAATTCAATAAAATTGATACAGCATCATTATTTTACCAATAACCACCTCTCTTCCACCTTTGAGCTAAATCGAGCAAGCTATTTCTGATATATTGGTATGTCTGAGAAAATACATTTGCACATACCTAAGTGAAAGTATTGGATGGAATTTGGTGAAAATTTTATGGGACCATATAGGTACTATCTTGAAAATTTCATGTAAATCCGATTAGCAATTGTGATATGCCTATCACCATTGATTTAATTACAGGCCAGCAGGCACCTAACCAGATTTGATCCTTGATATCTGAAACTCAAAACGTGAATGGATATTTTCAATTCTGAGCACGAACAAATTTTTAACTTCCCGCACAAATATAAAGCTCTTCCCTACTTTCAGAGTAATGAGGAAGCAAAATATTAGATGTAAATTTGCCTAAGAAAATCATTACATAAGTTCTAACACTACCTCACTCATTAAACAAACAAAATTTTAATAAAAACTGTTGAAATGATATTGGTAAATGTGAATCGTATCTAAAAGTTGGAAGAAGTGGTTAGATTCAACCAAAATGGTGGGTAGTGATCATCTGAAATATTGTTGATTTGCTTGTTTTTACTTAAGATTCTAAGAACATAATCTGCCTATAATAACTGTTACATTGAAGAAATGTTGGTTTGGATGTTCAGTCAAAAATAAAAAGTAAAAATAAATAAAAGATATTTATATAACGATATAAAATATATAAGATGGATCATCATCTTATATATTTTATCTTTCGTGAGATCAGCCCTGATGAAGGCCTGAACTTTGGGTGGAAATAATGGCAAAAATAAAAATAAATATCTTTTATTTATTTTTACTTATTATTTTTTACTGAACACCCCAACCGACTTCTCTTCAATTTTCACTACAGTCAACCATCAATCCACTATTATTATCCACTATAATCTTAAATTTATTGAATATTCTCACTAAAATGTCTTATGAAAGGTTTCTAGATTTATTAATTGCGTATGAGAATGATAAAAGCTATTAAGTTTTTTATTCTGAGCAATTATGAGAAGTGACACATGGAGTATCTGTCTTGTTGGGATTTTACTATATAAATTTTTAAAAAATTTAAAATAAAATCTAGGGTAGTGCACGCATCACACAACTTTCACTCATCTACTTGGAGGAGAAATAAGTATTTTTTTATAAACGTAAGTGAAATAAATATAAACAGCATAATATATTCATTTTAAAATAATTAATTATCATATATTTTTCCCATACATTTGATCTCTGATGAGTTTTCTGTCTTAACATTTCCTGCTACAACTGTATATTTTAATTATAAGGGTGCATGCCTCAAATTTTTTGAAGTGAAAACTTATTTATGCGCGCTTTGCACGTTTTTGTGGGTAGTGAATCAGATTAAGCCGCCAGGCTCAGTTGTATAATACTTATTTGGGTAAAGTCGGCTAATTGAAGTATTTTTGCATATGTATTAAAATATCTAAGAAACTTAAAATTGGACCTGCATACTGTAAGCGAGGGAAATGTTCACCATTTCATCCTCTTTGTAATGAGCTGTAATTCAAAAGTGTATCTTAAGATGATGCCATGTGAGAGGCGAACAAGGTAAAAATAGTGTCGAAAACCAAATGATTTAATGAGTTTTGTTGAACATATAGATTAAAATACCTCAGAAACTAAAAATTGGACTTGTATACTGTAAGTGAGGGAAATTTTCAGCATTGCATCCTCTCTGTAACGAGCTATAAATCAAAAGCAGAGTTAAGTAGTCAGATTGAGCCAAAAAACCAATAATAGCGACTGTTTCGAACATTTGGACTAAAATATCTCAAAATTTAAGTACCACGGAGAATTCAGAAACTGATTTGCGAAAGTCAATGTAGATATTTTTTTATTAGCCATAATTACTGACCCCCGTTAGAGAAGTTATTTTTTTTTTTCGGTTGGTGCTACAGACCTTGTAGATCTTTGACCGCAAGATGTGGTCTTCTAGATCACATCCCGATTCCTGATTTAAGTACACTGGGATAGTGTCATCAGTCCTAGACCCGGTCGATGTGAGTTACCTCCAGTAGGCTGACGGGCCTGACAAACCCGGGGGAGGTCTCGGGCAGTGTGTCTTTCCCTCATGGAGGGGCGATCCGAATCGGGCGGTTACCTATTGCAAGTGCCTTAGCCAGCACGGCTACCCCAGCCCTAGAGAAGTTATATAAAACTTTTTTTTAAATATGTTTTTGTTACATATTTAGCAAAGCAATTTTAATCAAAATTATTTATCACATGTTTTAATTATCATAAACCTATTGCATTATTATTAGAGTTTGATACAAATGAAGATTACTCTAAGTTGATTAGAGTAATTTATATGCAATTATAATTGTGGATATTGTTAATGTTAATACTTTGTGAACAGTGTCGCCTTAGACATTTGGCGCCCCCAAGCAATGTCCTCCCAACTGGTAAAAATAAATTTATTTCATAAGCTGTTTTATATTATGTAAAACTTGAATTTTATTTCATTTAATATTTCGGTTCCATCTTACTAACCATTATTACTCCTCTAATTAATTATCAAATACTTTCTTAAAGTTTATATTTAATCATTTTTTATTACTTGTAACAATTTGAAGTGGTTAATTACTTTAAATAGACAATATTAAATGTGCTTTAGAGGCCTCATGTTTACTTTTTAAACATTTTTACTTTCACTTACCTATATATATATATATATATATATATATATATATATATGAAATATATAGTAAGGAAAAGTGTTATAATCATTAAAAACTTCGAATCTGGGATCTGAGTACTAAAACAAGGAGGAAAAGGATCAATAAAGAACTGCTTACAGAAACTGGTCAATCAATATCCCACGATATGAAGGCAATATAAGGCGATATGAGGGCAAGTTATGTAGCTCTGAGTAATCAATCAGGAAGCCTCTACATAACAATGAACACCTTAATAGTTGGCAAGAGACCAAATATCAACAAAGATACAACAGAGCTGTATCCAGATAACTGGAAAGAAATGGCCCAAGGTAGGCAGAGATGGAGAAGGCTGTAAGGTGACAAAAGATCTATAAGGCCTATAATGCCAACAAAAAAAAAAGTTTTTTTTTATGTGTGTGTACATATATACACACATATATATTCCGGCCTTAGACATTTGGCACCCCCGGGCAATGACGTCATCTCCCTTCCACCTAAAAATATTAAATTTATTTCTTAAGCTGTTTAATATTTGAATTTAATTGTATTTAACATTTCTCTAATACAGTTGCTTTATTGATTATTCTAAAATTAATTATTTTATCAAGTTTTGAAGAGGGTTGGCAAAAACTCGTGCCTTGGAGTGCCTAAATTTTAAAATCCAGACCAGGTTATTAAGGCTTTATCAACAAAGGAATGGGATATTACAATGAGGTATACTTAGTCATGGGAACATTTTTTTATTAGTTTATTGTATTATACATTTGGTAAATAAATTCATTTAAAGAATGCAAAGTTTCAAACTAATTTTTTCTTACTCATTATAATTTTTGATTTCTAATCAGATAAAAATGGTGATTGTATTTAGCAGTAGATACATAAGGAAAATAAAAAATACTTAAAAAACTAACTATTTTTTTTTTTAAAATCTAGGTAGGGGTAACCCCATCTACCCTGTTTATCACTAACCCCTCAGTAAAGGTTTTGTTTTAAGTATTTCATAGAGATAGCAGCACCTATCATATTGTTGAGGTCTGGGCAGGTTATGTTTGTGTTGTACTAGTTCAAGTCATTCAACTGTCTTCAGTTTTTTCCTTTTATTAATTATGATTACACATTTAAACAAACGAGATTTTCGAGGCTATAAAGCAATTTTAG